CCACCACTTCCCTTCAAGACCAACCGGGTTTTTACCAACACCTGTGCAAATAGAAGATCAAACGCACCCCTTTGTAATTACTCCAAAAACAGTTGTGCCCAATGTCCTCATGGTCGCTGTACGAATCTTTCGTCAGATTCGGGTGTCCACCGACTCCGGCGAGTCTCACTCTGGGGGTATCCGAGGCGTCCCTTCCGAGGCGAGCGCCATTCAGGTAGTTGCCGAAGGCCAGAATCAGGCTCAACAGGAAAGGGATCTCCTGCGGGGGGTCGTTTGGCCACCAGGGGTGGGAAAATGATCGACCCCTTGCAGTGAAGCCTTCCTTGTTGAGGGGGTCGCAGATTTTCTCACCAAAGGTGCCAGCAGGACCCTCCTCATCTCCTGGACCCGGGTAGGTGGGTCCCTTCTTGGACCCCGCGGAGTTCCAAGGGAAACCCTCTCCGAAAGAACACAAAGGGCACCGCAGGGCAAGGAAGACGAACAACCCCCCGAACATCGCCCTTGGGAGGCAAGCCTTCCTATTTTGAAGGGGAAACAAGCAACTTCATCCACCAGGTGGATTCATTCGGTGTCAAATGGGTACGAGCCGGGTTGTCCTTCTGGAGGAGCTCGAGTCGGTTTACCCGAATGCTCTACCTCTCCCTTGGGGCCCCGAGGTCGCCCTTCAAGTCGGGCCCAAGGGACCCATTTTTTTTGAGGGCTTTGACGAAGATTGGAGCCCAAGGCCCTCGGGCTAAAGACGTGTTTGAGCCCACAGTGGCCAAAAGGGAAACCGAAACGAAGCGCACCGCGTGACAAGGAGGGATTTTCCTGGGTCGTTACCCATGGGTTAAAAAAGACACTCATAAGTTGCCCGAAACATGTTTGCCCCGATTCTCCTTGGAGTGCAGGAAGCTGTGCAGCATGCGCTCGAAGCGCGACAGGTTCTCCTCGGGCTCGCCACCGGCGTTTTGCGGTGCAGTTCTTCGATAGAAAAAGCTTCTATTGGGAGCAACCCTGTTTACGGTGGAGTACAGAGGCGCCTCTTCAAAATATGGACCCCTAAAACTCGCTGGTTTTCTTTCGCTTGCCTTCTTGGCCATTCCAAAAGGATTCCCTACTTTAAGGCCTAAGGCGGACCCATATAGATGGACACTGGTACACGAGTGGGACCGAACTAAAACTAGCGCCATCTTGGTGTTGTCACAAAACAAATGGTTGGTCTTACCTTCTGGTTTCTCTCCAAAATAAGCCCAAGCAATGTGCCCTCAAAATTCGGCCCTTAGACTTCCTGCAAGCACTTATTTTCAGAAAGTCCAAGGAACTCGAAATTCCGGCTGATCCAACCAATGAACATATTGCGTCCAACAACGGATGCGCAAACGGTCTAGATTCGTATCTGGACTGAGTAGTCATTGGGACTAACCACTTGAGCGGCCTTGGCGCATTTTTTGTCTATGATAGCTCAAGTGAATCCCTCAAACGCTTACACTTTGGCTGACAGTGTTGCCCATACTGCTACGTGCATTTGCACAAGGTACTCCAAACAATGGTTCTTCAAAGGGTTTTTTAGTATCGTCTGAGGCAGTACAAAATACATAAAGCCAACCCAATGGGCGCGAGCCAATGCCCACTCGAGAAGGATACACTAACACACACACAGAGTCCGCTATGCGTACTAGCAGCCGCAAAAACACCTTGTGCATATACGTGTTTTTGCCCTTACCATGGCATGGCTTGGAGGTTCGACGTATAGACCGCAACAGAATGGGCATTGGCAATGGCATCAAAGGCAACAGCAAAAGAAGCAGCAGCGGAAGCGGCAGCGGCAACGACAACAACTACCAAGCCCAGCCGTTTTTCATAAGCTTGCTCTCTCAGGAGTCACAAAATGCAGCACATATCCCTCCAACTTGTCCTGCAGGTGGGAAAGCCGTTCTGGAAGGTTATACCTGGAGATGAAACCGCTCGGCACAGTGCAGGGCACCATACTGTGGATGGACAAAAACTTGAACCAGTTGGCAAGTGGTTTATCCCAGTATTCATGAACTGCAGGGTCTTGTCCATCCACAGTAGGATCCATCTGTTTGTTTCTTGCACAAACGAGCCCTAAGGTCTTTCCAGGGCCTTGCTGGGGGGGGCAGGGGTCCCAATGGGCTGAGGATGTAGGAGGGAGATGTCTATTTAACCATGTCTAACAATCCATGGCAAGGGGCAGGGAAGGCTTCTACCTTTTGTGGACAAACGAACAAGCGGCGATACGGAGGGAGCGGAGATATGGGGGGATTCCCTTGGCGCCATTTCCCATATCAAACATAGTCAAGGTGCATTTAGGGGGAATCCTCCCGTATCCCTGGTTGTCCTGTATCCCTGCTAGTTGGTTTCCCTGACTTTTGCTAAGTGTGGAGTGGTCAAAGATCGGGCCTTGGTTGAACATGTCGAGGGGTCAAAAACAGGCCGTTGGTTGAAACAAACGTCACGTTTGGCACCCCGGCTTGAAGGCACGACACCCATGTCTTCCAAACAGGATCCCATGGAAAGCCCAACGTGCGCGGCGATCTCACCGCCCGTGCACTTCCAGATTCGGAACAGTCCGGACTTGCCGTTTACCACCTGGACTCCTCCCAAACGCACCAAGTCCACAATGCAGGGAAAGTGACTGGGCAAATGAGTTGCTCAGGAAAAACTCACAGTCAAGTTCGCGGACGACTCTCAACATCTTGAGTTGTTCCGGACATTGCTGACGGAAGCCAGTCTCATTTTACAATTGGCGTGTGTGTGGCTCAAAACTCAACAGCTAGGGCTTCGCAGGTTTTGGTCTTTGTCTCCGTAGGCGCCATTTCTTCATTTATTGAGCCACAACTTGACCATCACAGCCAAGCACTAATCTAGCCAAGTACTTAATCACATGCTGCAATTCCTTCGTGTCGGACCATCTTACCTGTGTCACATGCGTTGCCAAAAAATGCACTTGTTTGAACATCTGGTTTTGGATGAAAGAAACTGCAAAATGCCAACTGAACATCCGGGGGTCTTGATAAATTTATTGATCCACATGTTGACCATCACAGCACCAATTTCGCCTGGCCATTGAACGGGAAGCATGTGGGGGGTGTCGGTTTCCCGTGCGGCGGATCGATCGAAAATCGGCTGAGTTGCAGGAACTTCCAGCAGCTTAGGCGCATGGCACAGCCGGAGATCTGCGAGAGATCCTTGTGGGCTCATTTTTCGTGGCCAAATGAGTTGGGAGTGTCTTGTTTTAAGGGTACCCTCCCTCCCACTAACATGGCACCCCTGTGGGAGGGTATTTGAAAGATCAGCTTCCTCTTGGAGGGGCTGCCATGTTAGTGGGAAAGAGGGTACCCCGTCTTTTGGACGGTTTCCAAGCGGTCCCAAACTTGGAGACAACCCCATTTGGCAAAGGGCAGGACTTTGAGGCACAGAAAACTGGGGCCAAAAGGGTCCAAGTAGAGCAAAAAAGGGGTGTAAGCAGCTCCTTGGAGGTACTGGGGCCCTCTGGGGTGCACAAATCGTCGTGGGGATTCATGTTAGGGATCTTTTGGACCTCTAGGAACAACATGTCCATCAACTTGTGAGGTTCCTCGTTGGCTCCAAAGACGAGATCAGTAGTAGAAGCTTGGTGTGAGGGACTCCAAAACAAGCCAAACCGATCGGCTTTGTTCAACAAGGATCTTCGGATACCCCAAGAAAATCACACAACGGGTCGGTTCAAACTGTGAGAAACCAAGGTGGACCTCCAACCTGGATGTTGCCAGATCAGAGAGACAAACACTTGTGTCTTAACCCAGCAAAAACCAGCTTAACTCTACTTTGGAAAAACTTTCCGTGGGTTATAATCTAGGCTACAACTCACTTGGCTGAACAGCCAAAAGGGGATCCCTAATCCGCAATCTGTAGTGGAACACCGCTGAAACAAGAGAAACCACCTCCATCGGACAGAAGGAGCAAGAATTGATTCTACACAACCCGGACTGGGCTTTCAGGATGTCATGGCTTGCAAACAAACTGCCACTAAAACTCATCACAAAATCGACGGAGTCGGTCCATCCGTTCGACTCGCCAAGAAAAATCCGCTCCTCCATGTACTGCTCCACTGGGTCCCATTTGAAGGACTCGTCCCTCAGAGCGTGGACATCCAACGGCAAAGTACGAAACCTAGGTGAGGCCTGTTGAAACCTACCGTGGAAGTACCGCCAAAGCAAAACATGATGGCAAAGGCTGCCAAAACCGCAGGTTTGAGTTGAGATCATCTCCAATAAAACGGCAAATCTGGGGGTGCTAGCAGACCTGGTATGCCAAGATATGCCAAGTTCGGGACGGAAAGCGAGTCATGCCACCTGGAGTCTCAATCCTCGAAAGGTCCATGGCAACTTAGACTACATAGTTGATTCCAAGGGGAAACCAAGCCAACCATTTTGAAAGGCTCCATGGGGCTCCCCAAATGGAGACAGAGTCTCCCTTTCAACCCTGAGTCTCCCAAGGCATTCAATGGGTAACCGGTTGGATTTCCCCAACTTTCGTTTGCTGCTGGTCACCTGCGATGAAGATAACTATACGCAACTGGAAGTCCTGGGCCTGCGCGAATAGAATCTACTCGGAGACTTGTTGGTGGACGTCATTTCGGCGATAAGCTTCCATTGGACAACTCGAATCGATTCGTGAGTGTGTCACCAAAGGCCGAGGTGCTCTAAAGCAGCTTGCCGCTTTTGACGAAGCTCTGCCTCCTGCCAACTCCCAAAAAGACCACCCTTGAAATGGCCATGGGTCAAAATCACGTACCCCCAGTTTTCACATCCCAATCCCCACTAAAATAGGTTCTAAAATGGGTGGTGCACCTACACCAAAATGGGATCCCATTGGTTTTGACCACCACAGCCAACTACACGGACACCGCTTGCGCCGTTCAGCTGGCTTCGTCGTTCCCCTGCCTGCTCCGCGGTGGGGCAGAGCCGCTTTAAAGCGCCCAGCTCTTCCGGGGACAAAACGTGGGGCGCCTGGCAGGGAAGAGGCAGAGGCAAAAAGCTGCTGGTGCTCCGCAAGAAAATGAGGGAATGACACCTATAATCCATCCCTGGTGGTTTCCCCGAAGGGTACCCCTGGGTTCATTCCCTCATTCCCTTTTTACTAAGCACCAGCAAGAGAGTTGGCCTCAAAGACTTGTCAAGGAATGAGATAATGACCCCTATAAGCCCACCCATGTTGGGTGTGTTGTTTTTGGCAGCCGGCAGCCGGCTCTCTCGGAGCCGTGTAACTGTCATCGAATCTGAGTCTTGGGGTTGGGGAGGGGGGTGGAGGGTGGGGGGTGGGGGGTGGGGGCGGGGCCAATGAATGCGGCGCTTCTCTGTTGCGACCACCTGTGCTTGGGGTGGGGGGTGGGGGGTGGGGGGGGGCGAATGAATGCGGCGCTTCTCTGTTGCGACCACCTGTGCTTGGGGTGGGGGGTGGGGGGTGGGGGGGGGGGCGAATGGCGTTTCTCGGTTGCGACCACCTGTGCTTGGGGTGGGGGGTGGGGGTTTGGGGGGGGGGCCAATGAATGCGGCGCTTCCATTTCTGCTGTCATGTGCACCATAGCCGAGCCTAGGTCATTTCAGCTTCTTCTCGTGTAATCCAAGCGTTCATTTTCGCATTATGTTTATGTGTTCCAACAAGCGGGATTTTGGGCATATTTACTACGTATGTTTCTTCCAGCATCCCACGACGGAGCCTCCAGCCTAGGTCATTTCAGCTTCTTCTCGTGTAGTCCAAGCGTTCACTTTCGCATTATGTTTATGTGTTCCAACAAGCGAAACTTTGGGCATATTTACTACGTATGTTTCTTCCAGCATCCCACGACGGAGCCTCCAGCCTAGGTCATTTCAGCTTCTTCTCGTGTAATCCAAGCGTTCATTTTCGCATTATGTTTATGTGTTCATTTTCGCATTTAGTTTCGTTGCAAAGCACAATGCGAAGGCATTGAGCTCAGATCTGCAAAAGTTTCCGGCCAAGGCTCTTTGGGATTAGTCGCACACAAGACACGCAAGAGTATAAAGTGCGGGAGCCGCGCGGCTGACAGGTCCACAAATTAGGTCAAAAAACGAACTTTTCGGGGACCCCCTTTGCACAGCCCATGTCGCAAGAAGTTTGAGTCAAATGAGGCAAAAACACCGCAAATACCAGTGAATTTGCCTTCTCGCACTTCAAAACACGCAAAATGCTGTCGGTGACAGTTACACGGCTCCCAGAGAGCCGCTTGCCTTGTTTTTGTAGTACCCCACACATTGGCGGTTTTGCTGCTACAGTAGGTTTCCTTTACTGCATACTGAAAAAGATACACCCATGTTTGTTTCTTTCGAGTTGGTTCAGGTTTCCCTTGACTGGTGGTTTGGCGGCTTGGGGAATTGAAACCCTGGCTCTTGTATAGAGAAGAGCTGGGAACCTAACCAGATCGGATGATTCTAGAGTTGCACCCTTCAAATCGTTCCTTGAAAGCGAGGATCCTTGGCCAAATGTTCAAACGGCTGCTGTGTATGGAGCGAATTTTGGGGCGCGAGCTGAGTGCGACTCTGCGCTTGTCCATAGCACTGACAAAACGATTGATTTCTCCCACCTTCACTCCTCAAAGGTGGGGCGGGATCTTGAACTACTGCAAGCAACGTATTCATACCAATCAAAGTGAATTTCCGCAGGGCAATCAGGCAATGGACATATCCTTTTTGTGAGTCTCCACTCGGTTTCCATACAAATTGCAAAGGAGACAGTAAACATGAATCATCCCGCTAAATCTGCTTCATCAACATGTTGACCCTGCCTCACATCCTGAACATGCGGGGAGCCCTGGGGACACCTCTCCCACCGGAGAGCTGGGGGATGCACTTCCGCTGAGCAAAACCCAACTCGCTGAAGCGGAGCCCATGGCAGAAGCCGATTCGACGAAAGCCAGGTGAACCAAAGCCGGGCAAGCCGCTGTAGTGGGCAACAAGGGGACACAACGTCTAAAGCCAAAAGGGAGAAACCTGCTTATCCACAATGTATTCAATACCAGGCCAGGCTTAGACCTCCTCAAAAAAAAGTACCCCGAAACATGGACAACCCCAAAAAGGCAACAAAAACAACATCCTTTCATGTGCCACTGGGTGTGTCACCAAACTTTTTGGGGCCGGGTTCCTTCTTGGTTTCCTAAACTGGGACTTCCTTCAACAAAGCAAAGCTTTGAGAGGACAGAAATGGAAAGCCCATGGAAACCACAGTAAACCCTAAAGACGTACAACTGTTGACCCCCCCGCAAAAAGTTTTTAACTCCTGGAGCACCCTTCGTTACCTAAATTTCTGCCCTTAGCCCAAACGTATTGCAAAACCAGGGGTCGTCACCAAAATACGGTAAATGTACACTTTTTGCTGCTTCGAGCGTTTTTCCCAAAACCGGGCTGGTCGGTCCTCCAAGATGATCGGTCGCTGAATTGTCGAAAGGAGCGAGCAGAATTCGAAGTGCAAAACGAGCGCAAATATCCGCAAAACGAGCACAAATATCCGCAAACGAGTGCAAAATCAAAAAACGTAACAATGCCCGCCGTCCTCTGGATGGAAGAAGGGATTTGGTCGAGCGTTTTTCGGGGTGCGAGCGTTTTTTGCGGGGTCGAGCAGAAATCGGCAATTCGAGCGTTTTTTTCTCGTACCTAAAAAAAAAGGTACGTTGGGTGCCTCAGGCTTGTTGGGGGTTTAGTGGAAAACAACTCTTAATTTCCCAAAAAGTTCAAGTCTACAAAGATCCAACCCAATAGTCAAGAAGGGGACAGCCTTTAGAACCACCAAGAAACGAGAAATAACCCTGGGTGTCCGGGGGCCATGCCCACGACTCAATTCGATTCGCCTGGAGGGCCATAGCCGCCTTGGCGCCCGTGTTCAGAGTCACCGGCAGAGTGCCTAGGGCGTCGTCTTGCAGGACCCCCAAATGGTGCTCCTGTTGGTTCGAATGAAACAACCCAAAAAGGAAAAAGGGTACCTTCAAAAAAAAGAAGAGACGTCAATCTGGACAAAAACAAACTCCAAGTGAGGAAACTTCATCCCTGCAGGCTCACCAGGGCCATCAGAGGGGCCATGTTTGATTTTTCCAATCAGTGAAGTTGCTAAATCTTCCAACACCCTCCGATCGTCAGCTTCTACACGGAGGACGAGTAGCGCTACCCCTAGCCACCTTGCAATTCCCAGAGGGTCCCTTGGATCCTTGATAGGAGATGTTGCCTACTGTAGTAGCTGGACGCATTAGGGGGTATCAGATTTGTTGGCCCAAAAGGAGTTCCATTTTGGCTCCCGCGCCTGTGGACGTGAGCAGGGGTAAAAGCTTTTGGTGGAGTGAGTACCCACGTCGGCATTGTTCCACAGGAAGATCAAGGGACACCACCCATTTTGAAGCTCCATTTGGAGACAAACCCAAATGTGGATGTTCGTTGCTTAACATCCTGGATGATCCAAAAGGGAAAACAAAAACGTTCAAACGCAAAACGACCCAGGGAGGATTTGAGCCAAGTAAAATGCTTGTTGCACAAGATCTATGATAAAAGGCCACCGCTCTTCCAATGGCAACTGGGTCAACTGACGGGAGAAGATACGCGTGTTAGGCTGGAATTCGGCCAAGCAATGAGCAAAATCAAACCAGCAGGACCTAGCTTGACTGGCCCCCCCCGACTCTTAGCGGGTCACAAAGGGGTCATAGAGGCGGGGGGATAACTTTGGTCGCAGTTTTTGGATCACTTTGGTCGCAGCTGAAATCCACTCACTTTGGTCGTCGTTTGAGCATTTGCGGATCACTTCTGTCGCAATTTTTGGATCACTTCAGGCGCAGTGGAAGATAGCTTTTTGAGCACTAACAACAGGACACACGCAAAGGGTGTTGCCTCTCAAACACCTAACAACAAGACATGCCGCGTGGGGTGGGGTCGACAAGGATGTTGCCTCTCAAACACCTAACAACAAGAACTGCCGGGTGGGGTGGGGTCGACAAGGATGTTGTCTCTCAAACACCTAACAGCAAGACATGCCGGGCGGGGTGGGGTCGACAAGGATGTTGCCTCTCAAACACCTAACAACAAGACATGCCGGGCGGGGTGGGGTCGACAAGCATGTTGCCTCTCAAACACCTAACGACAAGACATGCCGGGCGGGGTGGGGTCGACAAGGATGTTGCCTCTCAAACACCTAACAACAAGACATGCCGGGCGGGGTGGGGTCGACAAGCATGTTGCCTCTCAAACACCTAACAACAAGACATGCCGGGTGGGGTGGGGTCGACAAGGATGTTGCCTCTCAAACACCATAGTCAACGGCGAAGAAACTAGGACCGAAGCGAGTAAGGAAACTAGGACCGAAGCGAGATGAAAACTAGGACCGAAGCGAGCCAGCAACTAGGACCGAAGCGAACCCGCGACCGTCATAGACATCCACGTAGTTGGACCCATTGGGGCGATACTTGTGCCAGTCCTTTTCGGCAACCCCCAGTCTGCTCTATTTCTACACGGGAAAAAGGACCCTTCTCTTTGTGGATGGTTTTAAAAGGGAAACCAAAAGGAAACTGGGCTGCACTCAGATCCCCCGCTAGAAGTTTAACTTTTAGTGGGTTAAATGGAAACTACCACTAAACACTAAAAAGGCTAAGGGGATGACTGGGAGCCACCAAGGAAACCTAACTCATCTGGGGGGGCCAAATTCCAATTTTGACACTTACGCGTTGTCTGAGAAAGATACCTTTTTGGGTTGGAACCAGGAAGCCACATGTGTTCAGCTGGGGGAAACTAACCAGACCAGCATGACCCCGTCACCTTGTCAGATCGCGAGCCCATCCATCGATCGCCGAGGTGCGCAGCGTCAGCTCGAGTTGCAAGCGGTCCTGCTGGTTGATGCTGCTCAGCTTCACGGTCCTAGGCCCAGATCTCCCAGCACCCGGCTATCAAATGGCTCTGGGTGGAAAGTCCAGGCACTCAGGAAGTGAGTTCATCTGGCTATGGGTCAAAAATGCGTACCCAAAACGAACATGGACTAAAGCCTGCGGTCCATATCCTGGTGGTTTCATTTTGACCCATACCCAAATGGTTTGTTTGGTGACCTCTTCACGGCCGCAAGTGAATTGGTCCCGCAAAAGGAGACTCTAATGACTTGTGGGGTTCCAAGTTCATCTGCCCTTGGGGATCTACTCACTTCGGGGGTTCTCCCCTTAGCAGATGTAGCACCGGCAGTGTGGATGAAGTATTTCTAATCAGGAACCAGGCCCATTATCCAGTTGGCCCAAAAAGACCATTGAACGTGGCCGACTAGCCACTGGAAACAGGTTTGGGCCTTTCCATTGTTTTGTCACAAACACTTTTAACCTTGGTTTTACAGGGAAACCCAAAGTGATATTCTTTCCCCGCGGTCCCCTTTCTAACACATACCTACATAGCCATGGGGCATAACCGGCTCCGTTTTGGGATGAACATCCATTTGCCACCTGTTTTGATGTACACCAGGGTTTCCTGGGTCTTGACTCACAGCCACATATGCAAACTCAGCACTGATGGTTGCGGGGTAAACATCACGAGCAAACATGGGTGCCAGGTGCCGCCTCCAGTCTTCGGGGCGCATCCCCGTACCCCCCCCCGGACAAAAAAACGAGAGACAAATCAAAGATAACACAAGGCGTCAGGTTTAGATTATCCATATCAAGTGACCTTGAAAATGTAAACAATGCAAAACTATCTGAAAAAGACCTTTAACAGTACGCTGTTCAGCGACCAAACAATCCAGTGGACCCCAGCAAGGGCGACCCTAAATGAAGGAACAGTCAGAAATAAGTTTGTTTGCTCCCCCGGATCGGGGTCATTCTATTGTGTCCACGAGTTCATTTGACCAATGAGCGGCCTTAATTGGATATGTCACATGGTCTGAGCAAAATCACACACCCATTCGTCCCTTCGTTCTACGGTACTTAAACTTAAAAGGGAAACCCTACCCTGGACATGAACATTCTGGCTTCGCAAGGCCAGAATGTACACCGACAGAAAAGCAACAATCGGGACAAACACAAGCAAAGAAAAGCAATCAGCTTCTTCTCACGGATACCAGGATCCATCCACGCCACAAAACAAACAGAACCACCAAATAACCAAGGGCGAAAACTACAAAAAACATGATGTGTCCCACATGGGACAAGTTAGCCATGGTCTTCTGCGGGCCGAACGGAAAATGGATCCACCCCTAATGGAACTGCCAGTCGCCACCTTTGGCCTTCCCCGCAAACCCCACCCGGAAGCCGATGCGATTCGCCGGGGCGCTTGGGCTTCTCCGCCCTGCGCGAAGGCGCCTTCGGCTTCGAGGCACCTGCGTGGCGTTATGACCCGAAGCGGGGGTGGCGAGGGGGGGGGGGTAGCTGAATCCATTGGTGCCAGTTTGGAGCAAAACTTCCATTTGCTTAATGCCACTTGGAAAGCAATACAATCTGTCCAGTAGTGATTGATTGTCTTTGAAAATACAACATAGTCTTCAGCAATGGAAGAAAACGGGGGTTTACCCTGCGGGGGATTTGGTGAATCCTCGGGGGGCTTGGATCCTATATTGAGAATGCGGCGACCGCCACGGGGTGGCTTGGACGAAGGAAGGAAAATGGGAGGATGCACAGAAATTGAGGAAACTTCAAAGCATCAAGGGCAGTATCTCAGGATCTATCATTCCCACGGAGTTTAATCTGTGCCTTTAACGGCAGCAGGTGCGGAGCGCTCCAAGGCCAAAGCTTCTTACTCCGCGCGTCACAAATGGGAATGCCTCCAAATGAAGGATGCATCGTCTCAAGGTATTGCACCCCCAAACCATTATTTCAACAAGTGACCCGGTATCGCGTTCCAACTGGGTCCAATGAGCCAGGGTCAAACATGGGAATATTCGTGATTTGTGAGTCGTAAGCTTTCCTGTTGGAAATTTGGGACATCTCCCCAGGTCCCCAAACTTACCAAAACTACTGAATATGTCGACCCTTTCTGGGGCTTGGCTGCGAATCTCCGAAATGGAGGATTCTTAAGCCTGGAGGGTAAATCGACTGCAGAGGGTCCCTTGACACCTTCTTTGGATGTACTGAGGGGTCACAAAGAGGTCAACATACATCCTCACCAGGCACTTGGACCCTTGGAGAAACAGGTCAGCAAACCTGCGAACGTTCGCCTGGGGCCCAGGCTGCTTTTGCCGAACCGCTTCTCAATCTCCTCACAGGGCAAAGCCTGCATGATGCCCTCGCTCTGGTAGACCTGGTTCACCTGCCAGGGAGAGGTAAGTCGCTTGGCATTGCACGCATGTTTCACGGGGGGAAGATTCTTGTCAAACATGCGGTGGGAGGGGGCGTGTATCACCAACAACTCCCAACCTGATGTTCTGTTGTATTGTTTTTCTGCTTCTATCTCAGGGCTTGGCAGTGGTTCTTGGGCAAGAAATACTTATAAGTTAGTGAAGGTTACTCAGGTCTACTGAAAGCGCTCGGAATACTCATCAGGTTTATCCCCCATTCTTTTCCCCCGTTCTTTTGGGAGTTCCGGGTCTCACACCCCGTTTTCGACCCCAGGTACGCTCAGCGCCAGAAACGCTCGGTCCAGCGATACTCAAGAAACTAACACGCCAACCCGAACCCCGGGATACAAGCAACCACACCCACAACTGATCAATGATGCACTTCTGCCAGACCACTTGAAAAAACTGCCTAATCTGCTTTGATACGTAGTCCCCCCCGGCGGCCAGTCGTGTGGGGCCTCTTTAGTGGAAAAGGGGGGCCGCCAAAAGAAGAACGGAAACTCAGAGAAACAAAGAACCGAAGGTCCACCGCCCCATTTCTCTCCGTCCAACTCGCGAGCGGATTTCTCGGAGTTCGAGGAATTCCCATGTCGCCTGGTCCCAAACGGTGCCTTCCTTGATCTGGGCGCCGATGTAGCGCGTCCAGGGCACAGATTTCAGCTCCTACGTCGAACTAGATGCAACAAATTCGGTTCAAACACTGGATCTAGTGCTTGCCCCCACCCCCTTTTGGGGGTGGTTGTAAAACACACCAGGAATCTGTTATCCGTTCGTTCTGGTGGTTCCCTCATTTGGGAATGTGTTGAAAGAGAGATTTGGCCCCCAAATCGGCGGGGGTCCTTTTGATATACATTTCAACAACAAAAGGTAGATGTGCAAGCCAAATGATTCCAGGCAAGCTGTTGCAAGTAAGCAGCAGTTGTCGATCTAGTTTGGAATGGGTGGTTTTCTTGGTTGCCTAGGGAAATGAGCAGCGACCTTTGACCCATTGGTTCCACGGACAGCTAAGGCTTATATACTATAATTATCTACAACCCCTATTACACCAGGTGGAACCAACCTGCTAAAGTGGCGGGGGGGGGGGCAACTCTCCGTTTAGCCAGAAGTTTTGGCGCAAGAGGCAACCCACACTTGAAGGGGAGGCATAGTTGTTGCTCTCCATTCATCAAGGTCGCCTAAGTTAGGCAAATAAGGTTTCGGAGTAAAGACACATTAAGAGATCGTAGGCTGCAAACAGCTGCCTGCAACACTTCATGTTTGCCTATCAGTGTTTTCTTATACTCTTGGTCCAATAAGGAACTTAGACTATAAGGCCTTAAAAAGGGGGGAGGTATTATGCAACAATATTATCATAATTATTGTAATGTTTGTAACTTTGTTTGCCCTTATGCTGACTATTCCATCACTCACAGGGCCAACCCCCTTTGACTAGTCTACCTTCTAAGTGTGGGAGGCTGTCCCTTTTGAGGGTCCCCTTTTTGGTGCGATTCAAAATGAAACCAAAAGGGGCATTACTCATATTTGGGTATTTGGGGGTCCCTTACTTTTTTCTAAGACGCACCCGTGTTTAGCCTCCTCTCGCACAAAAACAGGTCTGCGCTAGCTCCTGGTGTGGGGTCACGGCTGGCTTGGTGGGCTCAGCAGCTGCCTGACTTCTCAGGACCAAACGGAGGGATCCTTTTAAGCAAATTTGAAGGAAGCCCCGTCAGAAACTGCCTCGCATCCCCGACGAACTGCATCCTGTGGGTTGTGCACGGGGAAAGATCCCATGTCCTAATAATCACCACAAAAATCGGGGAGCCGGTACCATCTGGTACAAGGATCGTCACTTCAATAGGCGCCGGAAGGGGGGGGGAAGCCTGATTTCACCCAAGGCAAACTTGGAAAATGGAAGCAACCCACTGGCAGCTGGGATAGGCTCTTTCTTCTTTTGTCGACTCTAGTACTTGCTCCTGGGAAAGCTTCGTGTGCGCATCAACATGTTCCCATGGTGCTGAGATGCAAAGCATCAGGCAGGGACAGTGACCAGGCCTTGGCCAAATGACATCGACGAGAGACATCGTCGCAATAAACCTTCATGCACGTTGCCACCCAGTCTTATCATCATGAAAAAGAGAGTGCAGCATCAGTAGGACGGGCTAACAACGGAACTTCGGTGGTGATAGCTCAGCCCTGCTTCAAAAGAGGAACCTGTGACTGGCAGAGAGAAAACTACCGGTTGAGGCCCCCAGCCGGAAAGATCTAGGATCCTTCAGAGGCGTGCCTGCTTCGATCCAAGTTAATTGGAGAAACGGTAGCAGACCGACCATGAGACCTGCCAACCGAGCAACTTAAACTTCGGCACTCGGCCCGCGGGTCGACGAAGCTCCGGCCTTGCCCTTGCCTTTGCCCTTGGGCTCCTTGTCACCTGCAGGCCCTGGGCAAATGAGCGGCACCCACATACCAGTCTGCTTGTGCCACCATGGTTGTAATGGTGTACACAGGCTTTTGCAAGCGACAAAGCCAAGTGGTGAAACCACCTACCAAAGCCACTAGGCGCATGCACATTTTTAACCTTGTCATATGAGGATCAAGCAGACGGTGGCTTTCCCAGGCAAGGGGCAGAGTTGTTTCTAGTGCACGCCTGGGTGCCCAGCATCTCTCATGAGCCATGGTACCTGCAAAAGATATCTTCAAATGTGTGAGCCCCCGGGATTCTTCTGGGAAGGCTAACTCCACTTCTGATTCATTACGTCCAACAAAAAAGGGAAAGAAAAGCGATTTCTCAAAACGATGGGTAAAATAATCACACGGGATAAACCTTCAGAATAGTAACTGGTGCTCCCGCTTCCTCTGGGTTTCAAACATGCCCGGATCATCCCAAATCCCAGGTAACCACGTAGTCCTTTTGATTGAAAGCACTTCAATAAAACTGAGAAGGTAGCTGGTAGCCTCGGAGGTTGGAATCCATTGGTCAACCCCTCTCGGCTTGCAGCAGGCCAAGCCGACAGGATGTTCTGTATGTCCGCTTTAAACACCACCTCGCCAAGGAATCTCAATCAAAATGGGCCCCAAAAGGGGGAGGCCCTTGACGAATACTCCAAATCAGCTGCGATGGCTGCCTCGCTATGGCTCTGAATGAATATGGGGCTTCTCAAACAGGTAGACCCTCTTGTGAGGGGAACCAAAGGAAACAAGCCATTTAATGGGATCCCCTATCTTGAGACACGCCCCTGTGACAAAATTGCCAAATGGGTGTCTTGTTTCTTGAGGGCACCCCCTTTGGCCTGGCTTTAAAGTGAAACCAACAGCAAACGAAAAACCGTTTTGTTGTCCTTCAAGACACGGCCAAGTAAGAGACACACAGAGGTCGAGGTCCAAAGCCCACGCCCGCTCGCGAGCAGCCTGCGTCAGCCGGCGCCGGAGGCGGCTTGGCCTTGCCTTTGCCCTTGCCTTTGGGCGGCGCTTTGGGCGCCTGGCCATCGGCCGAGGGGCGAAGGGCACAGGCGCGGTTTTGGAGGGTGCCCCCTTCACCCGTGGCTTAAAACAAAACCCAAGGCAAGCGAAATGTTGCTGATGACTGTAGGGGGGGGTCAACCGAAATCTCCAGAAAGTCAAAGGGTGAAAGGTCACACCAAAGGGCAGCCAAAACCAGAATACAAACAGATGCTGTCTGTTTGTATTCCTGGGGCCTACAACTACCACGGTGGATAAGTTGAAGTGTACTGTGTCTTTACGTTCTGAAACCCCATGGTTTCCTATGGTGCGCCGCTATCCCTCCGTATCGATTCGGGGAGGACCTGACCAGCCTCCTTCACCTCCGGCGCAACGGGATCCTTCCTCGCGAAAAGGAGCCGGGACACAGGGGGAATGGAGACTTCTTCGATTCGGGTGACGGGGATCAAACCTCCCAAGTATGGCAAAGGAATTGTGATATCCTTGTTTTCTTGATTTTCTTTGGACGGATGCTTGCTCTCGACCGGCAAAAGGTCGGATCACCTTTTGTAGGCGTAATGGAAAAACCATCTGTTTCCAAAAGGTCTAAGGGCAATGATTGCACCAAAGACCAGCCAATAGACATTATATACCTATACACATGTGTCTACACATATTAACAATATATATATATATATATTATATATATATGATGGATACTCCCAGAGTGAGAAACCTTGTGTGCTTCCAAAACAAAATGCGGGTGAATACCCCCAGCCATCGAGTTTCAGACCTGGTTCAAAGGAAGTCATTCCTGACGAGCGAGACCAAATTCCCGAAACCTCCATAACCACCCCAAAGACAAGCCTTGCAGCACGGGCATGGCAGGGTACGCACCAAACTCACGTGAAACAACAAGGGTCCTGGAAAATACGTGTTTCAAGGAAAACCAAGAGAAAGGAAACAACATTCGCAACTATCAGCGGTCGGATGAAGGGGCCAGTTACAAAAAATACTAGCGGTGAAGTATTGCCCTCAGTTGCCCAGTGACCCTGGTAAACGATGCCTTTGAATGACTCTGTAGTTGAACGCCCCCAACCAACAATAGTATGTTTCAATCTGGTTCATCTTTAGTACCCTGAAAATGCCAAACAAACTTCCAGAAAAGGTAGACCAAAGGGCACAAACTCAAATAGATTAGGTGGGCCTGTCAATGTTACACGCCAGTGAGGACTCGAAAGAAGGCAAAAAAGGCAAAATCCTTGTTGCAGCCGAGCTTCTCTTCCGTCGCCAAAGGCTCCGCCGTCTTCGCTTCAGTTACTTCAGTTCTTGCCTCCTTTGCTTCCAACTTCCCTTCCGGCTCCTGATGGAGACGTGATTTCCTGGTCGTCCTAGAAGGACAACACCGGCTTCCTATGCTTCCACTTGGTTTGGTCAATTAGTTTCGTCCAAGCAGCACTAAGTGGGTGCTAAATAGCTCATACTGTGGATGAACGAAATCCTGCACCACTTTGAAACCATGGGACACCATTATTTGTTGGTATTTACAGGCGAATCATCATTCCCGGCTTTGCTTGATAGTGCAGGATTTCCTCCATCCACAGTATATAGACTCCATGCAATTCTCCTTGATAGTTCACTCAAACAATGGCAACCCAACCGGTTGTTTTGGGGTTGATTTGGGCTTGGCAAGCTGACCTCCAGGCTGCTGTTGCGTGGGTGTTGACTTTGGCTGGGTTTGGTTTGGCTTGGATGTGTACTAGGTGTGCGATTTGTTTAGTAGTGGCTTTAGGGTTCGGGCTTTTATGTGACTTCGCCAAAACCAATCCCAGATCAGCCCAAAACTCACTCAACAGGGAAACCACCTCCAACACAAATAAACCCGGGCACCACTGAAACTCTGGGGACTTGTCATGGAACAAAGGGCACCCTTCTGAAGTCAAGGAGTGCCCACCTAAAGAAAGAGGCTCGCCACCTGGACTGGCGGTCTTTTTGGGAGTGCCGGCCAAAAACGGTGCCGATTGGCCACCAAGGGGCTTAGTTTCTTCCTTTTTTTGGGGGGGCGGGGGGAGGAAGGTGGGGGGAACAAACGATTTCGCCCGGGTTTTCCTGTCAGCCCTTCCCTCTCCTTTGACTTATCCTCGCTAGCCTCGCTGCCGGCGGACGTCGGAGAGGTCGGCTTCTCTTTCTCCAGGACACCCGCCTTGGCTCCCAAGGATTCGAGGGTGGAATTTGAGCTGGTGTCCTCGCAAGAAGCGACCCAAAATAGGCGCGGGGTGACCAACTCCCAAGACTATTGGGGGTTCTCCATTTTTTCTCGCCGTCCTTTTCACAAAGCAGCTGAATTCCAAAAGTGTACTGTGGCCTTCTTGAAAGGCTCACTGGAAAGAGCGAAGAAGATACCCCTAGAGAATTGGTTAGAATTCCTGTCCAGCCAAATGAGGATATGCAACGAAACCGCCCTGCCCAAAAGAAGAGAGGATCCACACACATGGATCCGTCTGACCAAGGGCCCCTGACTGGCACAAAGCATCATGAGGCTAATACTGACGCGACATGTCAGAAGAAGAGAGCAATGCTTGACTTAGACACCCCTCTATTTGCAATCAAAATCCCCCACTCGGCCAAAAAAATCTGGAAATACAAAAACCGCCGGAAGTTTCTAATACACCTGGAGGCCCAATTGATACAGAAAAAGTGCTCAATTGCATATTCGGAGTTCGAACGCTTTTTTCTGCCCGATTGGAAACGAACAGTTTGAAGACGGCTTGGCCCGAAATGCGCACCGCGTTTCGAGCGCAATTCGGCGCAACTTCGGGCGCAATTTCGCGCAACTCGGGCGCAAATCCGCGCAACCGAGCGCAATTTTAACAACTGCCCAAAAAATGGTCACTACACTAGCGCCAAGTCGCTGGCTCCCAGAAACGTTTCGGGCACTTTTTTCGCCAAACACATTCGAGCACAATTTTCTGCATCAATTGGGCCTCCTGCAGCCCCCCCTCACGACCTTTGGGGGGTTGGGGAGGGGATCTAAATATGAGGTTGTTAAGTTTGAGAAGCCTGACAACGCTTGCTTTGAGAGATTGCCAAACTGGGGCAACTAGTCTCAAAAAGAAACGGCAAGAAACCCAAAGCTACGGCCTTTAGGGGGCACCTCAAGTCAAGCCGCGAGAGACTTCGCCGCGTCATCCGGCTCGAGGCTGGAGGTGCTGGCGACCTCCTGGCGAAGGGACGCCGGGCGCTAGGGTTTCCCTCTGGGGATGTGTCACAGGGGGACCCTACAACTGGGGCTGTCCTCAGATCTGCTGAAAGTTTAACATTTAGTCGGTGAAGTGGAACCCCCCACTAAACCCTAAAAACCTCAACAACCTAAAGGGACGGCTGGGAACCGTTTTCAACAAATGGTGGTTCTCCTTTGGCTTTCCATCAAACCAAAACCCCCAAAAAAGGTATCCTCAAACAAACACAGGTTTGCAGAGACACCGATCGCTGTCCTCAGCTTCATAGGCGGAGGCGCCATCCTCATTTCAGGTGCTTGAGCATTTGAGTTTGTCACTGTACCATCCCTCGGCCATCTGAGATGCGTTCAGCGACACCCAAACCAATATCAAACCCTGAGTAGTTCTGGCACAAGGGGGGATAAACCCCTTGTATTGCGACTGTATGCTGGCCTGATCGAAATCCGCGGGGGGGGGGGGGGGGGGGGGGCGAGTCGCAGTCCGCAATCCGCTTCATCCTTTTGGCTTGTAATCTTGGTAGTCCCCCTATCTTGACTTAACTAGAAGGAATATCAAATTGACATGAAACCCGAAACGGCTTCTACGACACGGAGGGTTGCCCAATGCCGAATCCTGCTTCATGTTTCTTCTCAAGAACCAACAAAGACCGCACAAACCGCCAATGGCCATGGGCACAAAAAGAGCACTCCTTGCTTGGCAGTGTTTGTTACAGAGGTCACTGGATTTCCTGTTCAAAAGTTGCAATCTACTGGCGGTTTCCAGTGAAACTGCCACTTTGGGAAGTTCCAAAAGGGAAAATGGAAAAACCACTGTTCTGTTCTCAGGTCCAAAAAAAGAAGAACAACCATGCGCAGCTGGAGGTCTGGGGACCAAGTGCGACAAGGTCCTTGTGGCTTGGGGGGGAAATGCGAACACTGCAAGCCATGAGTTGTTTGATTCGCAGTGTGGATTGGTGGCTTGGAGGGCTGGTCTCCCATTTAGCCTCATGAACCAGGCGTTAAAATCCAAATCCAAACCAGGAATTCCAAACCACCCACTGAGCATTGACTGAATTCAAGGGACACCCCTCCAAAAAAGCACTTGCTGGTGCTCAGGGAATGAGGGAATTACTCTTATTTTCTATCCCTGGTGGTTTCCTTTAAGGGGCTCCCCGGGTTCATTCCCAAAATTCCCCCTTGATCACCAACAAGAACAGCGCACCGTCCAAGTCGCAGCCGTGGATGTCGCACTGGACTGGGAGTCTCCTAGCGTATAACACGTGCGCATAGAAAAACGCGAGCGGTTGCTCGTGGGGCTTGGATTTGCGGTTGGTCCTCCCAGCAAGAAATGGGCAAAATATGCAAACCAATCTATGGCCGGACTTGTTGGCACTAGTGGCACCTGGGGGGATTTAATCCGCCCCGACTTGGATGGCCCAGCCAGGTCTTGTAGTATCCGAGCAGCATGGCGCTACTCCATATCGTCGCCTATCAAAGCAATCTATAGCTTCATACTTTCACGCCCCTTGCCGCCAACGTTCAATGTTGCGCTGTCCTCGTCTGGATCCCTCCTTGAGAATAGGGGTTGCAGTTATATAAGGTAAGGGCTTGGAACCAAGAAGAGAACCCGTTTGACTCTACTAGAGAGATTGACGAGTAGAGCACCTACTCACTTTCAAAACAGAACGGAACCCAAACCAGTGACCCTAGTAGAAAAAGGGAACCTTTTTTGGGCTTGAACCCCCCAACCGAAAAGGAAAAGGGTGGAATCCACTGACCAAGCGGGCAATGATCCAAACACTATAGGATGTTTTGCACAGCACCTCACACGAGCAGCGCCCCAAGACTCTTCCACCAACGTGGCTAAGGATGCAATAAGCTTTACTACAACTATGCAGCCAGGTAGTGGAACCACCTCGATGCGCCAGGATGCATGGAGAGCAGAGCATGTTGAGACCTGATTCTCCACCATCTCCTTGAGTGGTGAAGGTACATCTGTTCCTTTTTTGTGGTTTCCCTTGCGGCCCCATGCAAAGGACCTTTTCCGCAACTCCTCCCTCCATTTGAGTGTCGTTGTTTAGGGCCCCCCCAAAAAATAGAGAACAACTAAACATAAATAAACAAGCAGTGGTGTTCCCCTTGGTTTCCCCTCTAAAACCCACCAAAAGACGCTTTTTTGCACCAGACAACAAAAGAAGGGCCCCTTCTTGCGCCTCCAAGCAGGTCCCGCTCCGCTGGGCTCCGACCCGACTCGGCTCGGGATCCGCCTCGGAGCCGGGACTCGGAGACGCGCTGGAGCTCGTGGAGCTCCTTGAGCTCGAAGCGCGCGTACCTCGAAGGACGTCGAGCGGGGGGGGCGGCCACGGGGCAGGGAGGGCGAGGGGGGAGGGGAGGGCGAGAAGGGGGGGGAACTGCACCTTTTCCTGGGGCCGAGGATAAGGCAAGGCTGGAAGGGATTTGTTTTTAGGGGGAGGTTCTGGAGAAACATGGGCTTAGGGGGGGATTTCTGGATAAGCCAGTCGACTAACATGGAACCCAACAGAGAAATGATCCCTTTTGTAGGAAAATCGTCAACACCACCCCGAAAGGGTCAGGATCCATGTTAATGGCAGACCCCAAGCCGGCCGACTCTTACATGATCTTGCTGAAAGAGAGACTCCCTGTTGAAACTATTTCAAAGGGAACGTAGCAAAACACTCTGTTACTTGCAGCCAACACATGCTTGGATCAATGCAGGAAAGGACCGAGGGGGGGGTGCATGTTCAAAGATTTTGGCTGTAGCCTTTGCGAAGAACTGCGGTCTGCTCCCTCGGCGCGCTCAACTCGCCACAGGTCATTTGTGGGCGAAAGGACGCATTTTGAGGCGTTTCTCAGTTGATCAAGCAGCCATACGGATGAAAGCCATTGGAACAAAGGGATGCAGCTCAACCATTTTGGCATCACCGAGGGGCTGGCCCGCTTTGCACCATCCTCGAATCGGAAGTGCTGGGATTCACTTGGTTGCGGAGGGGCTCTGCAAAGACAGACTCTATCCCCTTGTGGCGTTCAGTAGGTGATTTAGCAGGGGTTCTACTAAAATCAAAACAGACTCTCCTTTCCGACAAAGGAACACTTCGCATCTTTCAGCATTCACTGTTCAATGGGTTGTACACTTGCTGTCTAAGTGAGGACATCCTCACCTGGGCAAAAACGACATTGTTGGAAATGGTGCAGGGTTTTGGCACATGTTGGTCATCAAAGGGGAAAAAGGCACTCGTTTTTTGTTGATTTCAAGGGAACCCTCATCCCAAAAAAACAAAGACAAAAAGGCACCGCTGAAGAAGCCCACCCCCCCACCCCCTTCGGCGTGCCGTTCCCCGAGCCGGATCGAAGCGCGGTTCCCGGCCAAGAGGCGGCTCCGGAATCAAGCCGCTGCAATCCCTGATGCGTCCGAGCGGGGACCCCAAACCCAGTGACTTTGGGTTCGAAACCAAAAACCTTCGAGGTTTATGGTGCATCTTTTCTTGAGGCTCGGTACCCTGTTTGGTTCTAAAAGGAAACCAAAAGGAACCTGCCCCCGGAGGTTTGGGGCGTTCCCCTTTGAGACAAACGCAAACAGAACCGCCAAGATGGCGATTCAAGAGGATCGACCGAAACATGAGAAGGTTCCTCTCACAATGGAACCATAGACATATTTTTTGGACCAAACCTCATGCTGTACTGATACTGTCATTCCCGCAGCATGGACCCCTTGCTTCCAGAAACTTGAAGAAGAATCCTGGGGCGGTTTTAAGCAAGGGGTCAGCATTACCTGGTTGACCGCTCAATCAATGGGCCCCTAGCTGACGGGGGCGCACTGAATCCTGGCTAAACATTAGCTACCACCACTCAAAGAAAGCTGTATAAAACAACTGGCAAACAAACGGTGATGTTTCAAGCCTGCATTGCCCGCTAAGAAAAGTGAAGCTTGTTGCTGATACAGGGGACGAAATAACTTCTGAAGGTCGAATCCAAGAGCAAACAAGTTTCTATCATAGCCTTCCACACCCACGAGCTATCCCTCTCCTTCATCCCCGTCCCTGCTTCCCCAAATTTGGACACTGAGCATGAGGACAGAAAAGGAACGGGTTGAAGCGGTGGATCTCCAGCTGTACCCTCAAAAACCAGCCTAAAACCGACAGAGGATCCCGGGTGTCTCTCTGGCAGACGGACCCCTGAAATGCGGACCGGAAAAAAAAGACACGTCCGAAATCCATTGTGAGAAATTCAATAACCCGAAATCCAGCCCGAGTCCATTTACCAGTGGTTTTGCTGAGCCCTGATCTGGACGCCAGGCCACTCACTGCCCCCTGGCTCAGACATCTTGGCGAGGCGGGTGCGGAGAGATTCCATCTCACCCACCTGAGCGACCCGAAATCCCGCTGACTTTCGACCCTACCAAGCTGGGCGTGTCCATTTTTCAGGTGCTTGGTATTTGAAGGAAAACCACAAGGACACAAGAAAAGTAGGGCACCCCGATTTTGAGACAAGCCCGGCTAGAAATTCTCGTTGGGCAACCAGCATGCTTCTGCTATGGTAGCAGCCATTGAGCCTGAAGACAACCCAATTCCAGTGACCCTGGTTGACAGAATAGTTGTAAGTCCACTGGAAAATACACGACAATTTCGAGTAGCGATATATTCCCCTTCAACCCACCACAGGAAATCACAGCATATAGTCTTAAGCAAATGGAAGCGTCTTGGGATGCCACCAAACAAGTTGGATGCGACTCGTAACCAACCAAAAATTGCAAACAAAAACGACTCAAGGCCCCTGGGTCAACCCCCCTAGGCCCACCTGCCTTCTTCTTCAGAAGCTCGTTCTCTCGCTCCACTTTGGCGAGCTTGGTCTGAAGCAGGTAGAAGGCTCCGATGGACTGACGCCCTGCGATCTGTGGGTCGGCGGGGGGGAATGTCACTTTACACCTGGGCACGTCGCGAGTTACTTTTTCTCACCACTCCCCCCAACAAAAGTTGGGGGAGTCGCAAAATGTAAGCGGGGGGAAATGCATTTTCAGACGTCCCCCCGTCCCCCATTTTCGGGCCCCAAGGCGGTGGGGATATTTTATCAAGGGGCAAGGGGTTTGCCATAATAGGGCACATGTTTACCCGGCTGGCCGTACGACGAATTTCGTCGGTTGAATGGCTTCCACAGAGCCTTTGTCATTCTTCCAAGTGCCAAAAAACCGCTGAGCCACTCAGTCCATTGAACAAAAGGTGAGTTACTTTGCTTGATGGTTGGCTGGGTGCTGGGCTGGTTGAGTGCTTTGCTTGCTTGCTTGCTTGCTTGCTTGCTTGCTTGCTTCCTTCCTTCCTTCCTTCCTTCCTTCCTTCCTTCCTTCCTGCCTTTCTTCCTTCCTACCTTTCTTCCTTGGTAGATGGTTGCTGTTTGGCAAAGCATGATACTCCACAAATTAAAACCAGAGAACCCCCCCGAGTTTTCCGGACCTTCCTCACGGGCCGTCGCTCGACTTGCCAGGTGGCTTGTGGCCGGAGCGCTTCTCGTCCTCTCCCAAAGCGAGTGAAATTAAAATCATGGCAGGTGACCACACGGGGTTTTACTCTGAGCGCAATACCTTAAAGGAGAACCACAAACATACACCACTTTTTGTCAAAGGCACCTGCTTTCTACATATGCCTGTGTTTCTCAAAATTGTAGTTCCCTGAACATGTTTGGCTTCCTTTGGATTCTTTTGACACATCAGATCACCACTTTGAGATGCCATGAAGTTTTGACACGTCTACCTCAGCCGTTGCCCAAAATCTAAATTGAGCTGGAGAAAAAAAAAAAACGTATTAAAACTCTTATCCCAGGATGTTTTCATTGCAAATCCAAGCGGCGGTCTTCATAAGAGTGAGGTCCCCCAAAAACATGCCCCTTAAGTGTATGAGGTCTCAGGTGTGTACACCGCTGCAAATTGTTGCTGGCTGCTGCTGCTGCTGCTGCTGCTGCTGGCTGCTGCTGGCTGCTGCTGCGGCTGCTGCTGCTGCGGCTGCTGCTGCTGGCTGCTGCTGCTGCTGCTGCTGCTGCTGGCTGCTGCTGCTGCTGCTGGCTGCTGGCTGCTGCTGGCTGCTGCTGGCTGCTGCTGCTGCTGCTGCTGCTGGCTGCTGCAACTCATTGCTGGGATCTGCAGAAACAAAGAAAATGCAAACTGCAGAAATGGGCCACTCCTGATCCAAGGCATCTACGACTTGCGCGCGACTTGCGCGCGACTTGCGCGCGACTTGCGCGAAAATTTAGCAATCTTCCGGATTCTTTCGACCATGCGGATGATGATGATGATGATGATGATGATGATGATGATGATGATGATGATGATGATGATGATGATGAATCATCACTGCGTCACTTGCGCTTCACTTGCGCTTTACTTGCGCGGCCCCATGTTTGACTTGCGCGGCCGCTCCTGCAACACACTCCTGCCATTCAAATTACAAGCGGCGCAGCTATTTGATAGGTCCAAAAGACCTGGGATCATGCCTTACATTGACACATACAACGTTTTTTTTTTTTTTCCGACTCAATTGGTTTAGAGTCTGGTCCTTACTTCGTGAACCTCGGCCATGACTTGTGATGGGACCCCCCTTCAACACTCTGTGCACCAAAGGGGGGGCCCAATCAAAGCCAACCATTTGAGACGTGTCTGTGGGTCAAAACCAATGGTACCATTTTGGGGTAGGTGCACCACCCATTTTAGAACCTATATTAGTGAGGATTGGGACGTTCACTGAGTATACGGGATTTTGACCCATGGCCACGTGCACATCGACCAAGTCGATCGAATGAAGAGCGAGCCGGGCCTAATGGCTCTTTCTCCTCTTGCCTCGGGCCGAGTGGAACAGCCCCACCAACTGGTTGAAACCGTGGTTGTTAATTCCCGAGTGGACTTGCAAAAACAAGTCCAAACTGCCTCTAAAATGGATTCCAAACAACTTCAAGTCCATAAACTCTGTGAGTGAGTTGGAGACCTCCCCATACTGTCAGAATAGGACGCTCCCTACTTCATTTGTTGCTTGAATCCTGGGCTCGTTGCAGTGCATTGTCATCCCCTCCCTCAGCCAGGAAAAAAGAGTTGCATCGGTTTCCCGCCTACTGACCGGCCGGCTTAGCATCAAGGCCTCGATACGGCTTGCGAAGCTTTGCTGGGCTTGTCAAGAGGTCACAGGGGTCCATGATTCCCCAAGGACCAAGAACCTTCCAAGGAAGTGCTTTGATCACCGTTGACCTCTCAAATCTTCTGGAATGGAGTGTCGTCCAGTTATAATGCATAGTTCCTGGAGGAATTTGTGTTGGAAAACCGTGATCCAAAGAAAGTCCCTTTCGCAACCCAAGGAATATATCTTGCGGATTGCCTTTGGACAGCCCTCCGTCACTGCAACCAACAAGTTATTGACGTTGACATGATATGCTCATCCCAATGCAGTAAATGTTGTCATCATTCAGCATAGCAAATTATTCAAATAAAAACATCTCTGAAGCTAATGGCAAGCTTCTGCTTCGATCCGGGCCGCCCAAGGTTAGCTGAATGCTTCATGAAACTGGTTGGCGATACAACTCTGGTAGCGAGCGGTAGTATTAGCGCGTCGTGTTCGTGCTGGATTCCCTGCCCCCTGTGGGGGTGCTCTGCCATGCTTGCTTTCACAAGTGAGCTCTCGAACAAGGCTCGCCTTTCCCACACTTGCCATCGCACTTGAGATAGCCAAAACGTCTGAACAAGTGTGCAGCACAAACAAATCTCCGAACCTGAATACCTCCACAAGTAGGGCTTGCCCCGGTGCCCTTTTGGAATAACTGGGGTTTAATGGGGTCTGAAACAAATCAAACACTTGGGCTCAGATTGTTTCACCCCTCCCCCTGATTTTTCAGGGTCTCCCCTTCTTGCTAGGGCGAAAGGCTCGAGGCTCGCCAGGTTCGGCAGCTCCTCCAAGTCGGGCACCTGCCGGTCTGCCGGGCGTGGAGGGGGGAGGGAGGGGAGGGGGAGGGGGAAGCCCAAAGCCTCAAATAAGGCCTTAAGGGCTGAAGGGCTGCAGAAGGGCTCCCTCCTTGACTCCCCCAGCCCCTATGTCCTTTCCGAAAACTTTGGTCCATGGGTTTTCCTTGCGCGAGAGGTAGGGAATGACCGAGTCTGGGTGGGAGTTTGAAATGGTTTTGGGGATTCCCTTAAAGGAAGCCATAGGAAATGGATTTATAGGGGTCATTCCCCCATTCCCTGCTGAGCAGCAAGAAAACGAGAGTTTGAACCCAAGAGTTCTCCCCCAGTCCCTGCATGTCTCTCATGTAACAAATCTCAGGGATAGACCAATCCCCTTGCAACCAAATCGTCAAAGTGACGACATGTTGGGTTGCCATGACTGGACGCTTTACCTCCCAAAGTGGCGCGGTCGTGGGCAGTGATTTGAAGTTGTCCATCCACAGTTCACACTTCTGCTTGTGGCTCTTCCAGCAGAAGATGCAGACACCGGCACACATCACCAACACTGCAAGTGGTGTTGCCCATCATAAACACATGTTTTAAGGTTTGTCCTCGCCCTGCATCATGACCGTCACGTTAATCCTAATCCTCTCTCAATCGCTCCAAGGCTGCCAACTTTTTCAGCTTCAGCGGGTACTTTCCAGGTTGGAAGGGCACCTTTTAGTACCACAAAGATTCAAGAACAACAAACAGCGGTCCTTTGGCAGACCCCCAAACTGGTGATGTTCCTTTTGATTTCCCGTCAAAACCACCACCGCACAAGCGGGTTCCCTTACACAAATGCACCCATATGTCCCCTTTCAGCATCACGCCGCCCAAATGCTTCAAGTTGCCCGAAAACGGAACTCTCAGGACATCACTCCAACCCAATTTGGCTCTAAAAAATAAACCGTAGCCCTGAAAAACGGAGGTTTTCGGACATGTTCAAAGGGGTTGAATCGCCCAACTGCTGGACCTCTGGGCTAGAATCCCTTGAGCCTTGGACCTTGCTCCATTGGTATTCCCGCCCAGTGCTTCCAGTTACCACTCTAGTAGGTAACCAGGGGAAACCGTGATGTAAAATCTAGAGGTAGCCATACCTGGTTACCGAAAGAGGTATAACTGGAAGCGCTGGGATCGGATACACTGAAACTCCGAGCCTCTTCCAGCACTTTGAAGCTCGCCTCCTGCGGGGCCTCCACGGTGGGGGGAGGGGGGTTGGAAAAAAACAAACCGTGCGGGTTCTCAGTCGGGATTTGTTTGAAGGGTCACCCATATGGGTTACGAACTAAATAGAACAACCCCGAGCTAGCTAAGTTACAAGCCCTTGGATTCGCCCGACGGTCTCTGTTCTTGCTGGTTCGATAGGCCATAGGCAGGGAACGAGTTGGAACGACCCCAAACTGAACCATCCCTGGTTGTCCCTGTTTTCCTCTAAGGAGTTCCGCAGCTATCTCCAGCAGGTTCATTCCCGAACCCTCTCAAACTATTCCCTACTCCTACTGAGCCAGCAAGCTTCTTTACTCCACCCTCCCTTCCTCCTGACCGTCCTAAATTATGGCGCAATGTCTAATTGGGTGGACATCAGAATTCGGTCCTTGTGGCTCCATGCTAAGAGTTGGCAAGTGCGGGTGTCGGGGGGCCAAGTGCGACCCAAGAAAAAGCCGTGCAACTTGGATACATTCCCATGCACCCTTGCATACCCCCATAGAGAAAAACAAAAGGTACATATTGTTGGGTGTTGCCTCAACGAAGTGACAGCGTGGTGCAGGTAGATACTTATGAGTGATAGGATGGTGAAGGATGAGGAGGTGGCATGATGGTTCTCTTTCCCACCTCCAACCGTCCCTTTCCCAATCCCAAGGTGTTACACGGTTGTAGCTGGAGAACCTGACGTAGGAAGGTTAGGAAGTGGTGAGGAAAGAGGTGAAGAGATCCAGTCACATGCTTATCGTTCATTCCCATCGTTTCCTCCCGAGGGATCCTCCTGAGTGTGGTTTTCAACATGGCCAATATGCATTGTTCTTGGCCCTGCCTGAGTTCGCGAATTGCCTTATAACCCGCGGGTTAACTCGACTTGGGACACTCATATTTTGTGCGTGACAACCTAGCCTGCCAACAACTTGCTAACTCGGCTGAGGGCCCCCCCCAACATTTAGGGGACCCCTGCTTCCCTTTTAGACCACACAACAAGGGGTACTGCCAAAAGCACACACACACACGTGTATGTATAGCTTCATCTCTGTGTACTTCTCCCGCCTCAGAGCAGTTTCGCTCCCTGCTCACCGCCAGCAGCGCTTCTACCACCTGTCCCGCCGAGTTTCGGGAACGGATTCTGCCATTCTTCACTCGGCCCAGAAGCATGGTCCTTTACCAGGCTTGAGGAACTCTTCTTGGTTTGGTTTATCTTAAAAGGGAACAAAAGAAGACCATGCACGGCTGGATGTCTGGGCATCCGTACATCCCGCGGACCATCCCAATCCAAATCCCAGAGGCTGATGTTGACCAAGGCACATGTGAGCCACGGTCATGTGACTCTTTTTCTCGCTCCACGTTATTTTTCCAGGCAGGGTGAGTCAGTGAAGCTCAGACGCCCGGCCATAGGTTAAAGAAGAAGGCCCTCGCCTCTTTCTCCGTAGACTTCTTAAAGGGAAACCCTCCAAAAAACAAGTCAGAAGGCAGCAAGCCACTGGATGTCTAGGTTAAGCCACATGATTTTCGTGGGAATTGAGGCTCCAGTGATATCCCTGGCTGCATCACTCCCCCAATACTTACCCTCCCTCTCAAAAACCGAAGGCAACTGGAGATGGAAGATCGATGGAGGGTGCCTGAATCACACTGAAACCTCCATTTCCTCTTTGCTTGAATTTCTGATAGCTGCCATGTGATTCTATCCATTCCACTGATCCTCACGCCGAAAACGAACCTGAGCCCGCCGCCTGCGGGTTGGGGTTCCGCAGCGCGTAGTCCATGGCGCGGCAGTTCTGCTCGTCCCTGGCCTGCGGTGCCCCCCCGAAGGTACCCCCAAACGCAGCCCCGGCGGCCCGTGCTTTTTGTGGGTCCCGGACCCACCAAAAAATGGGGAAAACGGGGAGTCGCACACAAAGAGCTCAGGAAGATGTACCTTCAAACTCCTGTGTTCTGTAGTTGTCCTTCAAAGCGGCCAACAACCACATGACTCCTATTGGAGACCCTCTGGTGGAGTTCATTTACGTGGGGGATGTTTGTCCACGCACAATTCTTTCAGGATAGTGAGGGCTGCTCAAATATTCACGCCTGAATATTACCCCCGCCCACACAAATCGGTGCTTTCTTTCGATTTGGTAGAGATGGACACGTTTCACTTGGCCGATGTTATTTTTTTTCAAGGAGCCCTGCGCTGAGGTTCATTGGAATCGTCAAGGTGGCCCTCATGGATGGTGCCTTTGCTCCAAAGGGAAACCTCCGATCCCAGCTTTTCTCCGATTGGAGGCGAGGAATGCCTAATCCTCCGATCCATTTGTCCTCAAGATCCCCTTGAAAGTTCCAACCCACGAATTCGGGGGAAGCTGATAGGTTATGACCTATTTATAGGTGGGGAAGCTACTAGGCTACCTACTTTGATGGTCTATAAGTCCATCAAGTGAAGAGCCAGGGCGTGAAATCTCCAAACCACCAAGTCACCAAGGGGGGGAATCTAGTAGCTTACCTACTTATACGTCCCAGCCCAGTGGGGTTAACCCGATAACCCCGTCATTGGGTGGCAACCAAACCACAAAAAGGGCGACCGGGTCGATCCGATCCGATCGCCTCCAGGTCTGGGCACAGTGCCGCCACGAAGCGCAGGCCCCGCGCATCTGTGCAGTGCCTGACTCATGGCGAGGCAGTGGGAAACGCAACGCTTGAACCAAAGACACGCCCAACCCAATCCGCCCATCCACCAAGCCACCAAGCAACAAAGAAACCAACAACCATGCTGGTGGATAACCGCAAAGCAGCACCCACGAGCAAAGGGCCTTCCACCTTGCTTTGTGCTGGCAGGCTTTTCGGGCCAATTCCTTTCGCTCCCCCCACATGTTGCCGAGAGCTGCTCCAAAGGTTCAACATCCCCATCCCGTGAACGAGCGGGTTCAAAAAGGAGGCCCTGGTTCACATTGCTTTCGCCTGTTGCCTCCAGGCGCCGGGAATCTTCCAGAACTCGAAGCGCACGCATCTGCTGGCAAGTTGTTGGATCCGAGAGATAGGTCGATCTAAGTCGCCAGCAAAAATACCGTCGCCAGCTAAAAATCTAGTCGATCTAAGTAAAAGTGGTCAGCAACTGTGTCATGCTAATTACACTGTCCACAGGGCACAATCAGGGTCTTAGCAGCCAGCAAAGCCCACCACTTGTCCTCCAAAACCATCTAGGCGCACATGCGGGCGCTCAAAGTGGCGACCCCGTAGGGGCAACACATGATGCGGACAGTCTGATCAGAGCCGTTGAGTCTACTTCAAAGTTACTTTCGTTCGGTGGCAATGCCGTTTGTAAAGGGTGTGCTGAACAACAACCTTGCCAGACCTGTAGTGTTCTAAGTTGTCTTTACAGAAAGCCAAAGGACAACACGACAATCATTTCGACACTAGACCTGTTAAGATGGCTGGCAAAGGGCATCTCTTGGCATGGCTAAAGTCTTAATTTCGCGCACACCCTGAACAAGTTCCAGCGGTAGGTCTGGTTCAAATCAGGACTCAAGAGTTGCCAGTAGCTTCGCTCCAGACTCCACCGAACAAACGCAACACATTAGTAGGGGTCCCTAGAACCTATAGTTTCCCGTGAAACGAACCTAACAAGGGTACCCTCAAAGCACATACACGCAAAAAGCCAGCCAATTGAGATGGTGAAAGCTTTTGACAGGTCAAACAAGAACCTTCAGGTGGAGGAACTTATTCCTGTCGCAACGCATCTCGCGTTACCATATGAAATATGACAAGCCCGAGACAAGCCTTTGGCCCTTCATAAACCTCTTCCGAACCCAAGATCGGAAGAAATTCCAAGGTCTTACCTACACGGTTTACCGACAAGGACCTGTGCAAGTAAACCAAGTATACTCAACCACACGGCGAGTTGCGGGGAATTCGAGGCTTGCCTTGTTCCCTCAACCGTAGACCCGCATGAAGAACGTTTGGTCCCCAACCTCGTTGGTCTGTTGACCTCTGGTTCAGTTTTTTATTTGGGGGGACCCCTTCTTGATTTGCTTTGAAGGGAAACCAAAAGAAAACCGCTACGCGCCATTTTGGGCGAAATAGTCAAGGCTTCCATTGGGACAAGCCCCCCTCAGGTCGAGACGCTCGCAGAGGAAGTGCAGCAGGCTCTTGCCCCGCGGCCAATCCGTGGAATCCCAGCCCTTCTCGATGACGGAGCTCAGAGTCTGCTCCTCTCAGCTTCGCTTCGAACTGATGCCCTGCGAAAAGTGTGTATATTGTTTGGTGGGTTCAATGGAAATCCCCCACACTTTTCCATGAAAACCTAACAACCCAAAAGGATGGCTGGGAAACACCAAGTCTACTTGGTGGTTTGTAGGGGTCCATGTGGGTCCCCTCTTCGGTCTGTCCCCACCCCAGTCCAGCTGGGCATCGTTCAGGCGCAGCAGCGGCGCCGCAGCCTGGCCATGTTCGATCCGCAGATTGATCGGAAGATCCCTCCGAGCATGGACGCCATTTATGAACATATATATATATATACCTGGGTCTTCCGTTTGCATGTAAATTTCTGCTCGTGACAAAAGATGCTCGTTTTGGAAGAAATCGTCCGTTAACAAAAAAGAGCCCGTTTACCCTTAAAGGCTTGGTGCGACACACACACTCACACGCGCTGCTCACACAAGCGCCCTCCTGGGCTATTTCCTCCTCGCTGTCTTCATCGCCTTCACTACGCCTTCACTGCCGGGGCCCCGATTTTCTGGCCTTGACCCACATGCCCCTATAGTGCATGAGCACCTTCCGCATTGTGCGAAAAGGTAGCCGAATTGAGTTGTGAATTTTCCGGCTGGCCCTCGATACGCGCCCTATGTAGTCTTCATCTGACCAAGTCGCTTGACCTTAGGGCACTGTTGGCTTTGTAGGGCAGGCGCGTGAACAAAAAATAAGCCACAGGCTAATTGGGTTCAGCACGTTCTGACACCCGTCGCGCTGCAAAGCGTGCTTGACTCCAAGCCTCATTGGAATGCAATAGTTTGGGTTGCGTGTTGCAGCGCAAGCTCAAATACAAATGCATGGCTAGGGCACACCACGTGAATCATCATGTGGCACTTTGGCCTGATGTAGTACAGTGCCAGCTTCTTCTGCGCCGCGAGCCAGCTAAGAGCGCCATATGCCTCCTGCAATCAAACCTACTTCTAGGATTTGCCCACACACCATGTTCTTGTTTGCTCCCTTGCGTGCAAGCTAGTGTCCAGCATGTCTTGGCCAAGTTGTACTGCGCGCGCAGCTTCTTGTCGGGTAAGCCAAAGGTTGCCCCGGTAGAGCGTGGCAAAAAAACCGTTGCTTGCTCTCACCCCCCATCGCACCACATCATACATGTCACGGTGCTTTTCCTCAGGTTTCAACCCCAAGTATGCGACGTAAGCACACAAGTCAAGAGACACCCATGCGTACAATGGTTGCCCAGTTGCTGGCACTGAGGCCCGGTGGGGCTGCTCAACAAACTCGGTCAGCCAGCGGCTCAAAAGTCCAGCATCGTGTCCTTTCCCAAGTCCCCTAGGGAAGTCTTGCAACCTCGGCAGGTTTGACAGGTTTCGGAGCGGGCCGACCCATAAGCCCCTGAGAAAAAATGTGCGTTTGAGGGGCGATGTAATCTTTAGCTCACCGTAGCTGAAATCACGAATCGATGTGTATTTTGAGTTCCTGGTGCACCAGCCCCGGAAAGCATGGTATGCCTCCTCCAACTGTTGCTCATAAGTACCACGTCCAAAGAGCCCGCAGTGGCATGCTAGAAAAACAATCGATGAAGCAAGCTCATCCTTTCCGTAGCCTGCGATAGCGTAAGTATGCGCCACATCGATCTTGATGGCCATCACGCTATCCCCAACTGGGGCGATGTTGCGAAGAGGGGAAACCACGGCTTTAAACGGATGGGGGGTAGGCAGGTGACCATCTGGCCAGGTCCATGTGCTTCCTTGAGGTCCAAGGGCATACCAATCCTTATTTTGCAAAGGACTTTGCTTAGCACCAGAAAAACATACATTGCAATGATTGCAATGTCATGATTTTAGTTGGGTCACTGGAGCCTCACAAACGTGACAGACCCTCTTGCTGGTATAGCCTGTGCGGAGTTGGAACGCAGATCTCAACCAAGGCCAATCGCCTTTCGTCCCCAAATAAGCCACTTTGAAGCAGTGCACTTGTCCACGCCACTGTACCTCAACTCACGCCAAAACCCACGAAGGGCTGTCAGGGGTTGAGGCAAACGAGCTAGCTTTGTTCTTTGCCATGTCACCTGAAGCCCGCTGATGTACAGCATGTTCAGGTCTGCAGCTAGAGCCTCCATCAAGGCCATCTGCGAGGCAGACTTGGGCGCGTAGCACTCACTGGGCACGACGGTGTACAGCATGCGTGTTGTGTAGGTATGCCTGGGCATCGGGTTGCTGTTTGATGATGCTTGGTTGCTGCACGAAAGCAACAAAAAGCTTCTTCAAGCAAAACCAAAAAGCTCAGTCAAGATTCTTGGTAGAGTTCATGTGCTGTTCACCAGCCCACGAGATCACCGGCTGAAACGAGACAACTAGAAGTGGCCGTTTGCCCTGTCCACGACCCTCATCGCCGTGAATATACACTGGTAGTGTGCCGGCAGGATTTTCCACCTCCAAACCATCATAGGCTTTGTACTTTGTCCAAAAGTCTCTCAGCATTCTTTGGATTTCCAGGGGTTCATCTAGTGTGTAGCCGCCAAAAAAGAAATATCCGGCAAAGCGCCGGCTTTCAAGGCAGAACTTCATCCAAGAGCTCAGGTGTAGGACCGGCCAAGGCAAGTGACAAATCGGCTTGCGCTTTGAAAGCTTCACTGGGGTGGATACATTCGACACTTCCACCGGGAGGGTCTTTCCACAAGCATGCACAAGACGATGTAGGTTCCTGCTTGCATTCCGGCCATGTTTGTCGCGGCGAAAGCATTTGGCAAGCTGCTCAAGCTTTGCATCACGTGTTCCTCAGCTTGACAACTTAAAACAAGTTCGATGCGCAGTTCAAAGACAGGAAGAGTTAAACTGATGAATGTGTGCAAAGCCAAACTTCCCTTGCAAACATGTGGCCGCTGCGTGATAGGGTTCTTCGCGCTTGAGAACAAACTTTGGACACCCCATCCGCAGTTGTTGCCTTAGTGATGCTGGAAAAGTGGGAACAGCCACAGCTTTTGCTTTTGCTTTTGCAAAACAGCCCAACGGTTCAAGCGACTCCTGAAGCAAACAATTCCACCAGCTCATCGCACAGGTCGTCCGAGCTCTCCGAGCCCTCATCCACGAAGCCTGGGCCGCCAAACCAGAATTCGGGAGGAGGGGTAGGAGGGAACATTTAGGAGTGAAAGAACCCCTCCTAGCAACTACAGGGTCCACCAAAGATAAAATTTGACGAGTGGGCACAGGGTCTCAGGCAAAGTATCAACTTTTCCCAGAACCGAAAGAGCAGCAAAGTGTCAATGTTACAGATTGGCACTTGCCAATAGGGTCATGGTTTTGTCGGGATTCCTTATTCCTTATCACCGACCCTTTGCGCGGGCGTTTCAAGTGACCGGGGATGCCTTCAGTGACCGGGGCGCTGGCCACAAGCAGGGGTGCCAAACTTCCGAAACAACGATTCACGGATCACTCGAAAACACCATGGACGCCGTTCCAAGCGAAAGCTAAGTTGAGTTACTTGACCCATCCCCCTTCCCACACACTCCTATACCTTTCCCTTCCACCCTCAAACCAAGTTGCCTCTCAGCTCTTGGCATCGGCCGCCTGGCCAAGATCCGTTGGTCAAAATCGATCCAAGACCGTGTGTGCAACGCTTGATCAGTAGTATGTCAGGCGCTTTCAATCGCCACACTTTTTTAACCCCGAGCATCCGCACGAGCCGATATATAGCGACAGCTACGTGACTTGCCTCCCAAAGTACAGACCTGCGCTGAAAGGGGGTCAAGCTAGCTGTTGAAACATCATCATGCGCATGCTGGCTGTAGGTGCCACAGCAAGGTCTGCACGGGTAGGTCCCAAAATCAGCCACCTGTGGGCTAGTTTGATGCCTTCTTCGAAGCTCGCTTGGCGCGAGGTTTTGGTTTCGCCTTTGTCTTAGGCGAGGTTTTCGGGGAAGGCTTTGCCTTGGGGGATTTGACCGCCTTCGCACGTTCACCACCAGGTTTGCCCAGCATTCCCCTGAGCAAGGCGGCGGCAGGATGGGCGTGGGTTAAGAGTAGCATGGTCAGGCCTCCCCCTCACAACGAAGGAGTTCATAGTCACGTCCATTTTGGTGCACTCGACAAAATCTGCCAGGAGCGTGTTCTTGAAGTCCCTCAAGCTTGCGTGTGTGTGTGTGTGTGACTTGCTAGCTTCTAGGAACAGCTTGCTTTCAATGTGCGTGTGATTGAGAGCGTGAAACCAAGCGTGAAACCAAGAAGGAACCTGGCCTGTCCGCTTGAGCTGGGTCAACAGCAACTGTTGCCTGTTTGCTGCATAGGGTTTCATACATTGCCTGCATCTTGGCAAGCAGTTCCACGATTTGTTCGGTCAACCTGAGTAACATTTGCACTAGATCGGATTGACAAGGCACGTGCCGGCAATACGCAGTTGCATTGGCTTGCCAAGCAACGATTGCGCAGGACCAGTTTGAAGATCTCCCAGCTTTTCCTGCAAACGTGGACAGTGTCAGTCGTTTTTTTGAAAGACGTTTATCAAACCTTCCCACACATGTTGCCAACCCTTCTCCAGCTGATCTCGGATCTTGTCCAACTTCTTCCCCAAAATTTCGACAAATCCTGGAAGTACCGCAACTGGGCTTGCCGTAGACTGCAGTGTTGGAAACGTAAGCCTGGGCGATTTCACAAACTCATGCATGCAGGGGACAAGAAACCTTACGCGCCTGCCAGCATGACTCAAATAACAGTCTAGCAGCCGGAAAGACATGATGCTGCTGTTGCTGCTGTTGGAGCTTGCTGGATTGTTTTTGCAACTTTGATCCTTCTTGCTTTGTGAAGGCTGCTGGCCCGCCATCGCAGAGCTGTACGAGGCAGGATTCGATGAGTTCAGCTCGGGTGGGTTGTCCGTGACCAGGGATGCCGAAGTATCCTGCAAAGAGCCACAAGCAAACCCGATAATAGTGTTTGTTTTCAGCCGTGTCGGGTCCTGAACCTCGGCGCCAGCAGTCCGGGTTGTGCTCGAGGTCTCTTCCGAAGCCCATTCAAAAGTGTCACCAAGAACAATGCAAACCTCCTCCTCACCATGAATTGGGTTCACTCTGTGGTGCCCCTCGTTGGATTTAGCCCACTCCCAGGCCCGGTCCATCATTTTCCTGAGATACACCAAAGCCAAGGACCAGCAAGCCAAAAGTGTGCTTGTGTCATTTCTAATTCTCAAACAGGTAAGGTTCCCTGCCAGGGCACTTGCTCCAATTCTGGCTCTTCTCAAGGTAGGAT